TATTTTTGTAAAATGGTTTGCTGTTTGTTTGTTTGTTTTTTCTTAAACATCAGGAGAAATCCTTGACTTTGCATTATTCTTTTTCATAAGTTCATCCTACTGCTGTTTCTAAATAGCCTTTTCATTCCCTCTTTGTTTCCCAAAATGACAACTCTTCAAACTTTCTGTACAGGTGTTGTCAGTGAAGCCAGTCTTAAACAAGTAAGTATTAGACTTAGAGGTGTTAATCAGTGCCTTCTGCCATGCCTCAGGCTACTTCAAAGTCAATTGCAAACTTCCTTAGCATTTTCCTATGCATCTGTCTTGAATATCTTGTGGTTTCCCAGTTTAGATTTCTGCTTGTGCACGTGGCACTCTGTTTTCACTTCCACAGCACTCTTCCTCTTTCGTCTGCCACTGTAGCCAAGGAGCTACACTTTGTTAGGCTCATTCTGGTAAGGGGAAGTTCCTCTTTCTAGTCGTGAAACAAGTGACTGCTTAGAGGAGCAGCTGAACTTTCTGATGAGTCATTTGTGCCTTTTACTTTTGGAACCTTTGGATTTGTGTTAACACTGAAAACAGCTTTCTCTAGAGTTTCTGGTGTAGCTCTGCTTGATGTGTAAAGTAGAAAAAAAATAGTAAATGGGGACATAGCTTTTAGGTGCAGTTTACTGGATTTTTAAGAGCTTGATTTGAGTATACCATTATTGTTCTGCACCGTTCCGCAAATTGCACCTTTGCAGATTATCCTGTTTTGTTTTACTTCTAAATGCAGCTCAGTATATTCTCTGGATCAGTCGTTCTCGTTAGAAAGTTAATACCAGGACTTCCTCTCCTCTGTTTTATAAATGTGAGGAAATTTGGAAAGATGATGGTATCTGTGTCACTGCTAAGATCAGCAATACTGATTTTTTTAATACAGTGATCAAATGGATGTTGAAGTACAGTTCATTTGCTGTACTGAGTGGGGGGAAAAAATACTAAAAATCTGTGCCAGCAGCCTTCATTTTTATCAGTCTCTTTCCCACTTTTTCGAACCCTCTTGCACCTAAGCAGAATGTTTGTTTCCACTAAAATTTTTTCTGCTGCTTTGCTAGTTTTATAAAGTATTCTTGCTTTTGGAACGTCACTCACTCTTTTCCTCTTTTCCTACCAGTAACACAGTGTATACCACAGTAATGAGCGCTGCACTTCCAGAGAAGTACCAGACGTGGATCAGAACTGTGAAGTGAAGAGGTGTAAGTAGCACGCTGCTACTCCTAGCTACTTGTACTTAAATCAGAATTTCAGCTGAAGAGTCATTGAGGGACAAAGCACTGCAGTGGCACTCGAGTGACCTAGTCTGCATTCCTGATTCTCCCCTTGGTTTGCTTATCAACCTTGGGTAAATACTGTCCCTTGTCTTAGAGTTAAAGTACTGACTTCCTTTGCAAAACTCTTGGGAGGTTATTTTAGGCAAAGTGCCTTATCGGAGAGGGAGGGGTGGACGTTGTTGCGGCCTAGAGGTAGAGGTTCTCTCTGTGAACGTTTTAGCTATGACTTTTACCAGTCCCCACTGCTACACTCGCGTGTCTCCAGGTGCTGACTATGACAAGAAGCCCAGCCAGAGTGACCTGAATCCCGGCAAGAGGGGTTGGTGACTTGGCACCAAGAAGGATCAAACTTAATTTGCAGCAGCTGCTCACAGGCAACTGAACGTTAGCATCCTTTGAGGGTTTTGTCCTGTGAACTTGCAGAAAAAGGCCAAGTGCTTGAACTCACAAGGTGCCTCATGTGGTAGCTTTAATGCATTCAGAGAGAGATACTAGGTTATCTTTATTTCTATTCCAAGAACCTCTGGTTGCACGGTCTTGCCAGGAGCACAAGAAACTGCATTCCAGTTTGAATAGCTTTTTAAACTCTTACTAATACTGTATTTGTAGCACTTATATCGGACGTTCGGTTTTAGCAAGAGTAGTTCCTTTAGTTTTGAGATTCTAAGGAGCTTGTTTCTTTCTTAGCTCCATACAAACCTGTGCTCTCTTATTTATCTACTTATCTATCTCTTTATTTCAACAGACAAAACGAGTGAAAAGCTGCTTTCCAAGACTGGCATATGCTTTTAAAATCACTCTCACAAGCAGTACAGTTGTTTTGGCTTATTAACTATGGAATCATTCAGGCAATAATGACTTGTTAATTCTTTGAGGTGTTGCAGATGATACTGTTCATTAACTGTAACGGAAGTTTGATTTTATTGTAATTACATTGATGTTCTAGCAGATGTTGATGGCTAAAAATTGCTTTTACTGTATCTAGAAAGAACTGTGCAACTTGAATGTACTCATGTGCTGACTAATAAAAAATCCATATACTGTACATGGCCTGTAGGTCTGAATATAATCCAATAAAAACACGCAGCTGATCACTTGATTTATGAAGACCTGGGGTGTTACTGCTAATGTCATCATGCTTTTCCCTGATCTGTGAGGGGCTTGTGATGATGAGCCTAACAGGGCCAGGTGCTGTGCCCAGAGAGCAGCGGACTGGGGGAGCGGGCAGACCAAACAGCGCCTTGCAGAACCCTGTGACAATTGCAGAACAGGGTCGCCGCAGGTCCTGGTACTGTTTAAGCCTTTGTGGAACCGCGCCAGTTTGGCAATCCTGTCCTGACATGCTCCGTGGGACTTTCCACAGCACATTAGTTATTGTGTCAGTGCAAAGGCATGTGACCTTCCATAGCGTGAGTGCCCCTGCAGGCGGTCTCTCTGCCCTTCAGCCGCGGTTCTCGGGTGCAGAGGCTCTTTAGCCATCCTTAGTAGGCTTGTGACAGCTGACTGAGAGTGTAGGATAGAGCAGTTCAGTTGGAAAGGACCTACACTGCTCACCTAAGCCAACTGCCTGACCGCTTTAGGGCTGACCAAAAGTTACAGCGTGTTGTTAAGGGCATTGTCCGAGTGCTTCTTAAACACTGCCAGGCTTGGGGCATCACGTGCCAGGGTTTGGCTGCTGCACGCATAGCTGTAGACTGTGGTGCTTTATTCATCAGAAATCAGGAGCTGGTTTAGGAGGTTTAGGCTCCCCAGATAGATGGGAGAAGCTTGTGATGGGATGGCAGTGAGGTTAGAAAAGGGATGGCTTTCCTTTTACATGTTTGAAAGTTGCCTTCAATAGAAAGTTCACAACTGATTTCTATAGAGCACAGGATTTTTTTGTTTCTTGTTTGGCTTGTGCTGTGACTGCATATGGAATGCAGGCACTTCCTGGGAACACTCCAGAAGTACAGAAGGATTTAAAGAGTCAAGACCAGTGGATACCTTCGCATAAAGCTTAGAGGTCCCATTCTTCACTGGACAAAATTCCTGCGAACGCCACTGAGAATTTTACAGGGAAGAAGGTGTGATCAGAGTGTTAGGTTAGCGCTCCGCTTCCAGCTACGTGCAGTGTCGCCTCCAGTATTTGTGCACCGGTCATGCAAACTGTTCCCGAGAGAGCTTTCTGGAGATGGGGGCCCTTTATCTCCTTCCCACGAGTCTGCCCGAGGGGCATGACCTGCTTACCCGCATCCCTGGCCTCTGCCTGCAGAAACGTGCTGCAAGCTTTGCCTTGACCCAGTTCGTACAATGATGTTAGCAGTCATGCGCCAGAAAGATAAATTTGAAAAACAGAGTATTCCAGGAGGAAGATGTAAATAACAGTAGTAACAGTACCTCTGAGATTTCAGAATGGCGTGGCTTTAATTCACAGAGCACGCACCCACTCTTGATCCCAGCAGGTTCTCTTTATGAAACAGCTGCCCACAAGCAAAGACAAAAAGATCTTTACAAGTGTAACTTTGCGTAGCCTTTTTGACCTCAGCAGTGCTAGGCTGATTATCTTCTGCAGTGGTGTGCCCAGACTCTCAGTGGTACTTAAACGTAATCAAAAGTATTTGTTTCAATGTGTACAAACAGATCTGGAGTGTATATTTGGTAGCCATGAATGTTCAGGAAAAAATTATCTGTGCCCGTTGTGTTTGTGTCTCATCAGCTGTTCGGACTTGCTCGGGCCCAGTCACAGAGCGGATTAGGGAAATGTGGGGCTTTTTGAGATTTAAACGAAAGAAAACTAGATTTGAAGTCGTCTAATTTTATTTTGTTTTGCTTTTCTCTTTTAATTTATTGAAAGAAAGCCTTGCATTTCATCCGTCTGCAAAGGTTCAGACATCCTGATTGCTGACAAAATAAAGTTTTTATGCCAACTTGAATACTTTTTTTGCTAACCAAAAGGATGCGTAACTTTCTGGTCTTAGCTTAATGACAAGCTAAAAATATAAACGCTAAGGAAGTGGTAAATGACATGTCTTATAAGCTAGATGATTTAACCTGTGAAATGTGTTGAGCTGCTTTTGCCTAAGAATTGAAATTTGATAAAAATGCAGGGAGACAGGATTGTTAATACTTTAAATAAAACCATCTTAACTATGTTGGAAATGTTAAAATGTAGCACTGATTGGCTTTGGAAGGCTTGGGTGTTTTGTACGATCTTGTTGGGTTTTGTTTTTTTTTGTTTTTTTTTGTTTTTTTTTAAAAAAGGAGGATCATTTGTAGTTATTTGAATTGCTTGCTGAAACATCCTTCTGTTGGAGATTTCATCTGCTTTGTATGTCCAATTTTTTGAGACTGGGGACTAGAATAGCTTTTCTGCTTTCTCAAGCCTAGTCAGATTCATGACTTAGAATCGTTAAGTAATTAAATAGAACTAGGACATTATCCTTGCTGCTTCCATCCTTTCGTTTCTGCAGTACAGATTCCCTAGCTAAAAAACCCAGATTTTTCAGCCCAACAGAGGGAATAGGTGAAACCTTTAATTCTTTTTCCTCCAGAAGTTTGTGTTTAGCAAAAGGCAACTTGAAAGGGTGTAAGAGCTGACTCTTAAGATGATAGAGGCCAACGTGCTGTATTTCTCATTCATAATCCTCTTCAGTAATCCTAATCCATTTCAGATCTGTAGCCTTTCTTAAGTATCACATGGGAGAGGATTCTTAAGGCTGCTCAGAACAGCTGTGCAGTAAATAAATCGAAGGGTCTGCGCTTGTTGCAGAGCAGCACACACACTCTGTGCTGCAGGTGCTGGAAGACATGGCACTTGCTGCTGTGTGCCCAAGGGAACAGTTTACTTGATTATTTAGATTCTGAGGAAGAGTTTCCGAAACTGTAATCAAGCAAGTCACTTCAGAGATTATTGATCACTTTGGGTACTGAATAGAAACAAAAACTGAAAAAGTGGAGAGCTTCTATTGAGTTTATTTTAATAAATCCTAAATTAGAAAGTGGTGGCAAGGTAAGTTGCATTTTTCTTTTTATTTCTCTGTAACAGTGTTTTGTGTTCAGAAGTAGTTACTCAGCACCCATAGTTTGAGGCAAAACATCCTTTTTTATATGTCAAGCTGTACAAAACTGCACTTGGGAGTTTTCTACCTGAAATTCTCCTTTTTGGCACTGCAGTAACTGTGCAGGTGCAGAAGTCAGTGCATGTGTAAAATAAAACAAGTGTCACCATCTTGTTCCAGCGACGCGCCAAGTCCGATGTACATGTGGGACATACATAGGTATTTACCCTAGCAGGGCAAGGCAGGATCATCACTTTCCCTAGTGCCAGCTAGCATTTTTATTCTTGGGAGAAGTATTTGATTAGTTTGTTGGTTTGGTTGGGTTTTTTTGTTTGTTTGGGGTTTTTTTTGGTTTTTTTTTTTTTTTTTTGTTGTTGTTTTTTTTTTTAAATTAATCTGTAACTCTAAAACAAACTGTTGTGGTTTTTCTTTTAGCAGAACTTAAAATTTCCATTTCCCTTCTACATCTCTTTCAGTTTTTTTCCTAGTAAACTCTCAGTAAGCCTGTTGTATCCTCTCATTGCCTTCCATATCCTGCTCATCTCTTCCCTCAGTTGTCCAAATGTCTATAAAGTTGTCAAGTTAGTGGGGATTCAGTTGTGCACATGATACGTGAAGTGTGTCATCTTTCCTAGGAGCCCTGTTGTTCTGAGTTAGCTTCACGTTAGCTTTGGTGTTCCTCGCGGGAAGCCTTCCATTCATGTGGGTAGAGCACCAAATTCTGCACAGCTCTGCAATGGGGACATGCGCAGTGGCGTGACAGAGTGTGCAGGATTTGATTCAAAATGCTGTCACTTGCTTTGGTTTTGAAGGAATTAAAATAATATTTACTGTAAGCCAGGAAATTGACCCAGGCTTTTGTTGTTCTTGTTTTGGGGTAGTTGACACAAATGGATTGGTGCAAGTTTTCCTTTCATGAGTTTTAGGTGTTATTTCAGGACAGTATTAAATGAACTGGCAGCCTGTGTTTTCAGCGTTACAAGACCAAGTATATTATCCATTGGCTTGGGAGGTGTATGTGGAGTGTGGCCGTTACATGTTTCTCCTGCCTTTAGAACGCTAACCCCGGTGAACAGGGAACGTGCATCTTTTCCCCCCATCTGTGGCCTTCTACTGAGGCACTGAACTTTGTTGTTCTGTTAGTTGTTTATGTCCAGGTGTGGCTCTTGAGTCCACGCTTTTCTTGGTGGTGGCTTAGTTCTGCCCTGGTGTAAGTGCATGCAGCAGGTTTTATCACCTTGCTTTACTCAGCGTGCGTGTTTGCTAGCAGATGCTTTTTGCAGCGGTGTGTACCCGGGGAGAGGCTCGGGTGAATGTATTGCAGCTTCTCAGAAGGCGTGAGGAAAGCCTGTTTCAGAGGCCTTCTAGCTGCACCTGAGAAAACCTAAACATCTCTGCAGGAGGGGCATGGTGGCCAAGAGCAAGATGAGAAAGGAGCTATTGGTAGCCGGCTGTTTCCTAGATGCACTGTTTGGTCTCACCTGGTTGTTTAATACAGCCTGTATTTTAGGTGCTGCCATGGTTCAGCTTCATCAAGTCTTGCAGGCTGTGTCTTTTATGAGTCTCTGTTCCTACTCTTCTTCTTGGGTAAAGGATTTTAGGAAGGGGAGGGGTGCATGTCACTGTTGGGTGGATGAGGAAGGGTCAGTTGGACTGGATTTATTTCTTCATCACTCCTCCCACCCTTGAAACAGGTTTGATTCCATTGGAGTCTCTGGTTTACTGCTGTGTACTCCTTTGCTCAGGCTGTGGCCCTCAGAAAAACCTGAGAGCAACGAAGTGAAAAAGTTTGCAGGTCCAGGAATTGCTTGGGAGAGACCTGTTGACAAGACTGTTCACGATAAGGTAGATAGGTAGGTGCTGTTGCCTGTGCTTGCTCTCTAATCCTAGGGCACGCTAATACTCCATCCCTCAGTGCGGATGGCCAAAATTTATGTTTAAAGTAGGGCTGTCCAAACACCACATGCTTGTTTGTTTTGCAGGGAAGGAGGGAAATGAGGGAAAAGTTTTTACTGTGTCTCCAAAGGTGCTCCCAACTCCAACATCACTTTTATCAAAACAGACAGGCAGTGCCCCTGAAAGCATCCTAAGCAAGAAAGTACCTAACTCTGTACTTAAGCGCCTGCTTCAGATTTGTTCTCCGTTTTTCAAAAGAGATATGGAAGAGTTCTAGTTCCTGATTTTTTTTTTTTTTTTCCTCCTGTTTCCATCTTTAAGGGTATCTTTAAAAGTCACTCACCTCTTCCATGGACCTGAAGCATCGGTCTCCCTTTGAAGCTGGTACTGTCAGGCTCCTAAGCGGCACTGAAGTTACAGTTAGGCGCGTGGGCTGTGCCGACCTCCGGTGTGGAGGCACAGCCGCCTACACTGACCGCGTTTCAGGGTAGCTGGTGACATTTCATCGTGACACCATTTCATCTGAAAGGAACCTGCCCCGCACTGTTCCAGACTGTCCCGCCAGGTTATACCAGAATGCAGTCAGTGGAGGTGCTCGGGGACGGCTGTGTCTCAAGCAAGCTCCCGATACGGAGCGGATCATTTGCCTCACTGCTCTGGATAGCTGACACTTGCTGACATCTTCAGATCTGTGTCTGTGAAGAGACATTTTTGTTTGGATAGCCAGATGGGAGTTATAAGTCCAGGCTCAGAAATTCTGAGCTTGAAAATCTGTTTTTCCTGTAACGGAATTTGCCTTGTACAGGTAGTTACAAATAAGAGCCCTAAATGCTAGGGATTCTGATCTTTGTGTGCAATTGTCCCTTTGAGTAGTTAATGATCTGAAAAGCTGTCACTGTACCTGCATTATTTAAGCACAAAGGCCATAAAGCAATGGATGTAATTGGGCATCATTCAGCAGTGACTTCGGGCCATTTTTGACAATAATATGAAATAATGTTAGAATAAAACCTGAGTGACTGGTATTTTGCTGAGAGCATTGCTACACATCCACCTGTGGTGTCACCCAGTTACTCAAGGGGAAGATGCCATGGTGCAACTCGGCATCCTGGGCAAAGTAGAGAATTTCAGTATTTCACCTGCCTTAGAAACTTGCCATGCTGAAATGTTGCTTAGTACGGCCCATCTTCCTGCGCAAGCGCTGCACACATGCACCTTCTACAACACCGAACACATTCCTTCAATTAGTGTTTGTGCAGATCTGAAGCTATTTTGAGAAGAAACGCATGGGTTAGGTGGAAAGAGACAGGAGGCAAAAGGATTGTGGGCAGTGAGGAAAGGAGAAGGACTTTTTCCTCCTCTGGGGTCAAATGCCTCTGTAGTCACACTGTCCTGACCCTTTAAAATCCTTTGAGCTGTGGTCTCCTGCTAGCACCAGGCTTTACATTTTTACAGGTATTTATTTCCTTCCCTCCCTTTCTCAGCTTTCTCCTCCCCCAGTTCTGGGTTAGAATAAAAATCTGTATAATTCTTATGTGATATATCCTGGGGCTGCTTTGGCAGTAGTATATGATTGGGTTTTTTTTCCAGAGAAAACATGTCTGACTCTGAATGACATTCTGGTTGTCCTCAAAGTGAGAGATTTCAGAATTTGACCTAATCTTAAAATAGGATCTGTTGGCTCTGACCAGAGCTTTGTGCAGCAGTGAGGCTACAAAAGTCTGGCTGTCCTGTCCTTTTATACTGGCCAGGATCTGAGCAATTGTTGGTACAATATGGTCCCACGCTCAAGTAGCTCCACGAGGTGAAGGAAAGTAGTTTTTAACAAAGCTGATTATTTTCTTATGATAGCTGGTTGTTATTTTAGACTTATCTCTGCTCTAGCTGTGGTACTGCAAATAGATTTAAATACCATCTGTGTGTTCATCCCTCATATAAGAGTTATCCTTCACAGATGGCTATATGCATATGCTGATAATTAACGAATCACTTTAATGAATTCTATGGTTCCCAATCAGTATTAAAAAACTTTTTTTTTCTACACAGGTTATGAATGCCTCCCACATGCAGTCATGCGTAATATTTCACCACCTTCATCCAGGTGCTTCAGCTGCACGTGAGGAAGGGGGGAGGTAGCATGAGGCTTCGGAGGTGTAGTCTGCTCTCAGAGCTCAATCAAGATTATTTTATTGTAGCATCTAAACTGAAGGTTCAGGTCAGAGACTGTCATATTGCTAAGAGTTTAGGAGCCTAACGTTGGGCACGTGAAGCATTGCGAGAGTACATGAATGCCTGATTTCTACATCTACCATACAACTACAATAGCAATACAGGCAATCTCTGCTATTTTAATACAATTAGAAAAGGTGCTGAAATGATTCCTAATCATAGAGCTGACTTAAAATCTGAAACAGTAAGACAGAAATCCTCAGATTCTCTAGAAGACAACAAAGTAGCTGGAAAAACCTGGTAGTGGAAGAATATGTACTTAGGCACAAAACAGGCCACCTGCTCATTGATCTTAAGAAGTGTTAATATATTTGATTATAGATTCTCAGCACCGTGGGACACGTTGCAGCTGTTTTGATTCTGGCCGAATGGTATTTCCAGCGTCTCTTTTGTGGTTTTGGTGATAGTGGGCCAGTCTGCAACGTTCTAGGAGCATTGGTTGGAGAACATGGGATCTGGTGGTTCTGTACATGCCAACTACAAGTACTCCCTGCAGAAGTCTGAAAATGGTGAGTGGTTCTTTGAAAAGTAATCTTTTCTCGTCTGTTCCTGCACATGCTGTTGGGAGGTTGCAGTGGATGTATTTCTTTTCTGGGATACCTGGTTTTCTTGATAGTATGGAGATGAAGTTATGTCTTTCAGTATCCCGTCAGGCAGAAGGCTTGAGAAAACTACAGCTATTTAGACCAGGATTAGATTAAAATCAATCAAAACCTGACCAGAAACGAAGCATCAAAAAGCAATTCTGAATTCTGTTAAAACTAACATCCAGTGGATTAATCAATTGCTGGCTAATGTGTGTGTTGTCATGTGCTGACAGCAAGACAGATGGTATCACCCTGCTGCTTCTGGTGGACTTTGTTTTTAAAGACTGTGTTAGTGGTGCAGGACTGATAAAGCAGAAGCACTAGCAAAGCCAAAATAAATCTGGTTCTAAAGAAGGTAAGATGATGTGGCTAAGAAAAGCTGAAAAGCAGAAAGTGTGCTTTTTTTGTGACTACATCAGCGCAGTGCTTTTCATCTCTGCTAATAATCTAGACTTGTTTATGGCTCTTGAAGCTGCAAGGATTTACTTTCATGAAACCCTCTGTATGATCGCACCAGTTTTCTGGGTGTGTGCTTAGGTCTGCTGTGGAACAAAGAGAGTTTATGAGTGAGACTTTACACATAAGGAAGTATAAAGTAGTAGACATTACTTTGTTGTCTGAATCATTCAGTCATCAGAATTGGCAGAACAACAGTAGGGTCCAAACTGTTTGTGAGTGCTTTGAAAAGAAAAACGGTGATTGCATTTAGAAATGAAGAATGTGGGGATACTGCTGTGACTCGGTCTTTTTTGTTTGCAATTTTAATTTGTTGAAAAACTCCACCTTTTATTTAAGTTAGACTTGTCTATTGCCCATAGCACCAGAGAACCATGGACTTTTCCCAACAAGTTCAGGGCTATTTTATGATAACGGCTTGTCTATAACAAAGTGCAACATTAAACCTAGTTATTTTTTTGAAACTCTGCATTAGATCTGATACCTCATCAACAGGTTCCCATGGCAGAAAAATCTCTCTGAATTTTTTGCCTCTGGTTCTCCAAATCCTTCAGACGTGGTGATCTGCAGATGTGGAGCTGCTTAGGACTTTCCACCCAAGTATAATGTTCCAGGTGCTGTCCTGTCCCCCTTGTACAAAGCCCCAAGGCTGCTCCCCATGGAAAGCGTAGCCAGCAGGGCTCTGTGGAACTGGCCCTGCCCTTGAGTGAAGAAGGGGATGGGGAACCCCAGAGAGGGTGCTGACTCCCTCCTGTAAGCTGATGTGTGAACTATACTGCTAGCATGAACAGGCTTATTTTAGCTTGAGTCCTGCCATTTTGGCATGCTTTCAGTAGCTGATACGATGACATATGATTCAGTTTCTTGCTTGGATCCTCATAAAATGTGGATAAATCTCTTTCTCTTCCTTTTTTATTATTTTTTTCTAAACTAGTACAAACAATGCCAGATGAAACTCACCCAGGTAAGCCAGTAAATTAGAATACCTGGCTTTTTCAGTTGCAGTCAGTCTCTAAAAGTAGTGTAAAAAAAACAATGCCCTGCCCATCTGGAGCTTAAAACACCATGGATGGTGGTATATGTGCTCACCGGGCACTTGATGATAAGTCTTTCACAGATTTTATTTTTAATGATTCAAAATATTTAGTTTACATTGGTATATGTGGAGTCAGAACTATGAATTTCTGCTCTGGATTCAGTTGAGATACATCTGACTCCTACCACAGTAATTGGACATTTGTCCACTGTTAGGGGAATGCAAGATATTTAGAAGTTGTTTATATTAGAGAGTGATTGCGACTGTAATTATGGTTACACACCAGCCAAATTACTGTACAGGGAGTAAGGCAGCTAGTGTTGGGTTTGTTACAAGGGAGGCTTGAAGAGGTACCATCAGGAGCACCAAACTGAAGCAAAAAAGTCAGCCTTTTTTATTTTTTCAGAGCCCAGCAAATCAGTAAGCATTTTCGCAGCAAGATATAAGGCTCAGACAAAGAATATATAAGTTATTCTTGAACTAAGGCTAGCCAAGTCTTACCTTCTTGCCCGTGATTTCACCGTGACTCCTCCTCAGCTGCCAGCTGCACAACAGCAATAGTTCTTCCCTTTTTGTGCTCTGCAGCTCCTAGTGCTGCTGTAACACTGACATAATTTAGAAAGATTATTATTATTTTCAATACATAAGCCATCAGGATATCTTATTGAGGTAAAGGTCAATGTTTTCTTCTAAAGTACATGATGGGTGGTTTATGTTCTATGATTAATGTAAGCTAATTGAATTAATGTGATCTTTTTGTCTCCTGCCAGCACTTTGGGGTGGGCATGTGGGATTTCCTTCTTTTCAATAAAGTTCTTGCATCCCAAAGCCCGCACTGCTCTCCCTGCTTTGGTGAACACGGCAGTGCTCTCTCCCAAACCAGATGCCATGGGAACACCCGTTGCTGCAGCAGGGCTAACTCTGTAACTCTGTCATCTCCATTTGAATTCGGGGCCAGCCTGTAGATAGAGCAGTCATCCCTCTCTTCCTCAGCTAATGATGACACAGAGAAGGATTGTCAGAAAACGTTTTAAACTTCGGGCTCTAGGGTAGGGCTGCAGGAATGAGCAGGCAGGGACAAAGAGCGTAATCAAAAGAGAGATGCCAAGCAGCAGAGCTGGTTGGCAAGGTGGTACGAAGTCATCAGGAGGTCCAAATGGGGTCCAGACCAGCTAAGAAGGATGGAAGAGTTTCTAGAGCTACATAAAGTTCTGTGGCGCAACTTGAAAAAGGAAATGGGAAACTGCACCAGTGTACTTCACTTTAAATATGCACACCCCCCATCTGAAATGATCTTTTAATGAGAACCACTGAAATTGGGGAAATGCAGAGGAATGGTTATGTTTTAAAGATCAGAGCAAACAGCCGTCATTTGGAGGGAAGAGCCTGGTGCCAGTGCTGGCTGCGGATTGAACCATGACCAGGCCTCTGGAAATTCCTGGCATTTTGCTCCTTCTGTGTCATTAAGTGGCTAAAGATCTGCCTCCCTCTTTTCACTGTGGGTGTTAACTTTATTTTATTCCAGGGTAATGGGATGTTAGCGTTTATGCTAGAATAGATCCCTTCTGAAGTTTGCCCAGAACTGCAAAAGCTGAGGTATTTATTTGGCTTAAAGGAAGGCAGACAAACGCCGTATTTTTAAGGCTCTGGAGGGGGACTTGGCGTCTTCTTTTCTCCCAACTCCTTGTGCGGCTTCAGTCAAATCTCTGGTTTCCTGAAGCCCCAGTACCTAGACTGTATGATGGACATGAAAATGATCAAGGCAGACAGAAAAGGAGGAAATTTTCTTTTAATACTGAAGACCGCATTTGGATCTTCAGGCCCTAGTAAGTTGTTAATGCTGGTGCTGAGGAGCCAGTAGCGATGGTAAGAATCGATTCAGAGGTCTCCGGTCAGGTAGGGTCACATCAACCTCTTGCAATATGGTGAAAAGGAGTGGGTTTATTAGTATTTAGGCATCCGAACACCTTTCCTGAATACTCGCTCCTGAAAAAGGGAGGTCCCTCTTCAGTTTTCAGGGTCGGGCAAGGGGCAGTGGCGGGGCACCTCAGCCGCAGCCGCTGCGGTTCAGCAGGCTGACTCTGGTTTTGTCCCCTAGCTTTCAAGGCAGCCGTCTTGATCCAACAGTGGTATCGGCGCTACGTCGCTCGGCTGGAAATGCGCCGACGTTGCACCTGGAGAATCTTTCAATCCATTGAATACGCTTGCGAGCAGGATCAGATCAAGGTAAGGTACCAAGGAGAAGAGTATGTAGCAGAAAACATAGGAGCATGGTTTCTGTGCCAAAGACTCCTTTGTTTCTGGCTACTGGCTGGTAACCCTGTAAGTGCCTCAGTGAGTCAAGGACTGGATTTCCTGCCCCTTTTTAGCTTACTGAGTTCCTGACTGCTTATGTCTGATGAAACCCTAAGTAATGAGTCTTGAAAGCAAGCCCTAAGGACCATTTAGCATTGCTTTTCCTGAGTCTGAACGCAGTAGGTAAGCCTAGTTGGTTTGCTATACTTCAGCTTTGATTAATGTCCTCTTATATGGTTGCTTTGCTGTCAGGCAGGGAGAGGGAGGGCTTACAGATGTGCTTCTGTTTGTACAGCTGAAGGTAAAGCTACTTCTTTGACTTCACCACAAGGTATTCAAAACTAGAATTGGTACAGTATGATTTGTACATACCAGACAACATGAGAAGGGCATAATACTTCCAGAAAGATGATCACATGAAGTTGCCACTCTGCAGAATTTAACTGCAGGGTGGATGATGATGGGCTTGCTGTCTTCTTGCAGCTTCACAACTTCTTCAGTTACCTCATGGACCACTTCACGCCAAGCAGCAGTAAAGAGAGTAAGTTTCTATGCGTTGTTTGTAGATGTGGCACCAGCAGCTCAGAAGGCTGCACCCTGTATCGATTTGTTGCCCAGGGCTGGCCCTTCAGGATGGCAAAGGGGGCCAAGTGAGTCTAAAGAGCAACGGCATCAGGAATTTGGATAGGGAGTGAATTGTTTAGAGACTGTCAGAGCTGTGCAAGGTATGTGGGGCAATTCCTGCTCCTTAGGAGCTGGAAGGGGGAATAAAAGCTCCGTATGTTTTCTAAGAGCAGTATTAGAAATCAGCCTTTTTTTCTCTAATCCCTGGTAACCACAGCTTTGCAGAGCCCGTATGTGAAGTGAGTGAATCCATCTTTAGGGAACTGTGCTCTAGGGTATCTACTTTATTTATAGTTAGTCTCTCACTTATAATTGGGGTGGCGGGGTAGAAGTGCTGTGGGAACCAAGACAGTACCTTCCTAAATCTGCAGAGCATTATATGTTATTTCTTAGTGCTGGGAACTTGCTAATGAGCTTATCTCTGAAATCTGATGGTAGTAAGGGAAAACTATTTACATTGCTGACCATAATCTGCTGAAGTCCTCGCTCCTTCCTGTCAAACTGCCACCCTTTTTCTCAAACCCAACCCATATATTTTACAGCAAAGCTCTGTTGAGGAAGATTTTTTCTCAGTGTCTGTGTAAAACAGGACAATAATGTCCTGTAACTTGAGTTGGGCTCTGAGATGTTCCAGCAATAAAAAAATAATGTGTATTTATACAAATTTTGTGCAACACTGAAAATGTAGGTGCAAGCTTAGAAAAAACAGTGGGGTGTAGGAGACAGTTCTTTATTACACAGTTTGCTTTTGCATGTCATTGAAATTAAGATTGCAGTTAGCCACGGCAACCAGTGTCCATCTGGCTCTACCAGAGTTTTGCAGAAACTAGCTGCCAGGACTGCCTGACACATGGCACACAGAAATTGTCCCTGCTGCCTCTTCCCCACTGTAAATTCTGTAGCTGTGTCAAACTAGGAGCTATGCTCCACCGCTGCCGTCGCTCACGAGCTCTAGCCGAACCAAACAGCTTTTCTTTAGCAAATTACTAGAATGGTGTATTGTGCCAACTTTACTTTTTCTTGTCTCTTTCTCTTTTTAAAACAAACCAATCAAATGGACCAACCTGCCATCCAGGGGATTTCATCAGTCGCATGTTCAGAAGTGGGGAAAGCTTCAAAGAGGCAGAGCTGGAAAAATACTGTGATTATGAATCCATGGAGGTGCCAGACTCCTACACTGGACCCCGTCTCTCTTTCCCACTCCTTCCTGACCATGCGACTGCCTTGCTGGAAGCTTTCAAACAGAAACAAGTAAGGATCCCAAAAGGAATCACGCTTTCCCCTTCTCCATACAGGGCTGTAGGACAGATAATTTGGTTTTAGCCTTCCTAACCAGCTATGCTGATTGAAGTATAACAAGCTGGCAGGCTGTTAAGCAAAGGGGGATGGGAACGATCTGGTAGATATTTCCCCCTGCCATAGGAACTTTATTCCTTTCTAGAAATACAGTTCCGACAAAACTGAAAACTTTTCATCTGTGCCAATATTAACCTGAAATTCATTTTAAAGGGGAAAAAACCTACAACAGTTCATGTTGAAACATTCTATCATTTTTTGTTGCAATTCCTCAATTTGTAAAGAAGTGTAGGATGGCTCAGATGGAAACAGCCAGTTATGTTTTGTGCCATGCAACTTTGACTCATATTTAAAATGTAAAGTGTGAAGTTTTTGACAAGGAAGTCCAGTTCCAGTTCAGCAGCACTAAGGAGGCAAGTCCTCATACAATTGCAGTGTTCTGCTGCCATCCCTCAGTTAAGGTGCTGAACTGCAAAACAGGCCAAAACATCCCCTCTCCAAACAAAACAACTTCTAAAACAAAGGTCTCTGGGGTCTTGACTAACATTAAACACCTACACTCTGGCTTTGAGCAAACATATTTCTGCAGACACATCGCAGCTCAGGCCCTGGCTTAATGTGGAGAAGGCTAAGAAATATCGAGAGGAGCAGCTTACCTGTGATATTGGGCTGGAATTTCTGCTGCTCTAGGAGGTGGTGTTGCCTTGACCACGGGGTGCTAGGGCTTTGGGGTTCTCTTGCCAGGCCTGCCAGTGCCGAGGCTGGACTGCTTTGGGTGAATCTCCTCCATCCTGCTGCTCCCTAGTATCTGCCTTGTCTGGTTTGTAAACCCACAGGTCAGCATCGAGTGTCGTCCCAGTGGGTTTCTGCCATCCAGGCTATCGTGGTGGGGCCTTTGCAGACAGAGCTGCATTGCTGCTCAGAGGTCACTGATTTCCTGCTCTAATCCCTTTGCTTTCTCCTAGTAGCAGCTCCACGCTCGCTATGTCTTAAACCTTCTGCACGAGACCAGGAAGCACCTCAAGCAGTTGCCAAACATCAGTCACGTCTCCACTTGCTATAGCGAGGAGGTCACCGTGTGCGGTAGGTCTGGGTGGGAGGGCACCCCGCAGTCTCTGGGGCAGGATGCTCGTGTGGAAGGGGTGGGAAGGATATCGGCTGGTAGCGTGAGCGTGATGCCCTCCTCTGTAGCGAATGTGGAACACAAATGCAGTCTGCTAGCAAAATGCATGTTGCATTGAGAGGCAACTGGGGCTGTCTAAAATATCCGGATTTACCCTATGATACTGTATGAGAGCCGCTGCAAAGACTAGCCTGGAGACTGGAGGGAGCACATCTGCATCATGGCCCTATTTCTGCGTGGTCTGGAACGGGATGAGGATGTTGAGGGAAGATCTTTGCATCCTGTCAAGTAAATTTGAAAGAGACAAAGCTCTTCACCATTATTTTCCTACTCTAGAGCTAATGCTTAAACTTTGAGAGAGGTCTGAAAAATATGTACTTATCACAGAACTTTAAGCGCAGTCAGCTTCTGGAAAACAAACCTCTTTCTCTCCAATATCATGTTAAACAAGAATTTAGTTTGATTATTATTATGTAGGCAAAATTTTCTCCCACGTAATGATCAAAGTCAAACAGTTTGTTGTGCCACGTTGTGCTATCATAAGAGATAAATGAAGCTTCTGAATCAGTCTTCAGAAGCTAGTGTAGGTTTTTTGCTGTCCTTGTCAGGCTTCAGCTCAAGCCTTTACATCATGTCCCTTCATTCAGGCACATTGCCTCAGTGTAAGGAAACTTGTACATGAACTTCCCAAAATATTTCAGTGTTCATTAATTTATAGAGGAGATGCTTCATAGGAAGTTATTTATTGGTGTCTTTTTAAGCTAGAGGTAAACATACTGTGACTTGTCTTTTTGTGCCTGTTAGGAGACTTGCACGGCCAGCTGGATGACTTGTTCCTCATATTTTATAAGGTAGGCACTGTATTTGGAGCGGGAGGCTGGCCAGGCATTGTGAGAGGTATTGCATGGGTCATGCTGAGAACTGTCCACAAAACTGGGCCCTTCACACGCGATTCTCCAGGACAATTTGACTGGTTTTAAATGGCTTCAGAAAGCAGCACCTTATTCCCTTGCTGACTTTGGAATCTGATATACATGTACATTTGGGAAGTGCCAGTGGCCATTTTTGTAAGTGCTGATGCCGATGACAAGCCTTCCTGACTGCCAGCTTTCACTTGTCAGTGCATTTGCTGCTGGGTGCCTACAGGATAAAAATAGTCAGGATCTATTGTATAAGGTAACCTGGGACAGGAGCAAGAGAATGTGCAGTTGGGACGGGGGGAGGTATACGGACATCATGGGGAGGCCTCTCTGGTAACATCCACCTCTTTCTTGCTTTTACAGAATGGCCTTCCTTCCCCTTCCAAGTCCTACGTGTTCAATGGGGACTTCGTGGACAGAGGAAAACAGTCCCTTGAGATCCTCATTGTCCTCTTTACCTTCCTCTTGATCTATCCAAAGGAGGTTCATCTCAACCGCGGGAACCACGAGGACCACATGGTCAACTTACGGTACGGGTTCCGTGTGGGACTGATCGCGATGTCAAGGGTGTTACTGTGAAATCCCACTGAAATCCTTTCTCCTGTTCCTTCAGCTATGGTTTCACCAAGGAAGTAATGCAGAAATACAAGGTAAGCATATGTTTATGTCTCCTCTACCACGAAATGCGGACTGTGAAAGCTGATGCTTCATCTTTTCCTTTCTGACCTGTCCTCCTAGGTGCATGGGAAGAAAATCTTGAAGATGATTCAGAACGTCTTCTGCTGGCTGCCCCTGGCCACCCTGATTGATCAGAAAGTCCTCATTATACACGGGGGCATCTCTGACACCACTGACCTGGAGATGCTTGAGAAAATTCAAAGGAACAAAGTAGGTTTTATTTCCCAGATATTGCAAGAGACAACAGTGTTGCTGATTTGTGGTGAGGAGCTTACTTCTACATGTCAACTTGGCTGTTGACGAGACAAATCTAAAGGGTGGTATTCCCAGACAAGCTATGTTTAGAGTGGGTCACGTTGGTTTAATAGTGTGTGTGCAGGAGGTGTGGAGGGAAGAAGCATTCTTGGTTTCTGGAAGACGTAAGGATCGTAGCCCAGGAAGTGATGGGTAATGGCATAGGTAAATAGATGGGCTGGTGCTGACTGTAAAAGCAGAATGATGAGACTTTGTCCCACTGTTCCTTAGCCTGTGTTTTCCCCTGGGTTTCCAGAAGGATTTTTGATAAGTCATTTAACTTGTCTCTGCCTCACTTTCTCTTTGAGAAATACCAATTCCCTTCTCCAAATGTAACGACAAGCACCCACATTAGTCAGGAAATCCTTCCCTCATTCTGCTGCCTTGTTCCCATTGCAGATTAAATCTATGTACCTTTTATGAAGTGTCTGAGCAATGTAAAGTCAATGGAGAAGAGACAGATCTGTAGGCAGGACAGCTGTGGGGTCCCAGCTGCAAACCAAGAATGGCACATTCGAGAGGATGGCACTAGTAATCTCCCTCAATTAATCATCATTTGATGGCAGCAAAGGGAATTGAGGCTTGGGTCACTCGACAGTCTGCCAATGGAAGAAGTTAGAGCCGGAGATGTAGGTTTCCAAGTTCTGGACCAACTCTCTTTTCTCTCTTACCTCTCAGTTTATTTCTGTACTAAGAGGGAAGAAAAGAAAGGAGTCGCATAGAGATGTGGAAATACAGGAAGTAAATGGAGAGAGCACAACAGAGACTGATCAAACAGAGAGCGAGTCAGTCCTCAGTTTATCTCCACAGCCCCGGCCGACCCACGCTCCCAGCATAACCAACAGGCTGGAGTTTTCCCGGTGGGTCCGGCAGACGGTGCAGGAGCAAATCGAGTGGTGCCGCCGGCTGGTGGACATCAGCGAGTCGGAGTCGGAGGAGCTCACCTATTCCAGCGTGGTCTCGTCGGATTTGGACGAACCGTGCTGGACTCGCCAGGAGGAGTGGAAGCAGGTGAGTGGTCTGAGCTCAGTGGGCTGTGGGTGCCTCCTGCAGCTTTGTTCTCTTTTACGAAGAAGCTCGGTACAAAATAGGTGGGTCAGCACACCGACCTCTCTGCAGAGACATTTTTGCTGCTTTGTAGAGTGGAGTTAAGGAGCAACTCAGTTGAAATGCCAGCGGGCAGGCTAATGGGGTTTGTGCTGTTTTGTACCTACTGCTCTGTATCCCGAGCCAGTCTGGTGTTGATCATTCAGTGGTAAGCTGTTGGGACGGGCCGTACTGTGAGCATGGGATCTCTGCTGCCTGGAGACATTTCTTAGGTACCTGCACCACATCCAGCCCATCCTGGGGCATGGTTCCTTAGCAATTGAAGAGCTGCGCACGAGAGTCGAGTAGGAGAACGCAGGCTGTGTGCAAGAGTGTCAAGCTCTTCCCTGGGCTTTCGGCTTTCTGTGTTCCAGGATCTGCCCCAGCATCTGCCCCTAGCACAGCACTCATCTGTTGTATAAATTAAACTGCTGCTCAGGCATAGAGGGGGGCAACAGGTTTTCTTGATTCACTGCAGGGGAGAGAAACAGTAGACAAGACTGACTGTAGAGCACAGTGGTTGTATCACTTACTGTGCACGTTTCTCAAGTTTCTCTGTCAAGTTACCCAAGTTTCTGAAGTCAGCTCTGTAGGTAGTGAACGAGCACATAATTAGCTGATGAGTGAGTTGTGATCTTGGGTACTAAGAGCAGACTGAATTTGTGGTTTTAGCTGGGCTGCTCTGCATGTAGATTGCTAGGCAGGTCAGAGCCTGGGAACTTGGTTTCCTGTTGGTGTTAGACCAGTCTGTCTGTAAGCCCCTTCTGTGTGCTCCAAAACCATCATTACTTACTTCACATTAGTTACAACATCCCAGAATTGCATACCTTATCAGCATAAAGCTGTATATTGAGGTCAGGGTTAAAGAGCTTAAACTTTAATCCACACAGTGGTTACTGAGTCAGCACTTACATTTCTGGAGGCTGCGGAATGTCCTGGCTAGAGAGCAAAGAAGTTTAATACTAAGCCAGCTCATGGCCTCAGGATCTGCTGGGTGTTCTTGCCCTGGGACCTGTGTTTTGGGATGGAGGTAGACAGGCAAGGCTCGCTCTTTGAAATCTTTGAGGGAGCAAAGGGAAGCTTCTATCAGGCCTGATATATGGACACCCCTCTTCCCCCAGGCACTCTGGGTGTGCCTGTAGCTCCAGGCCAACAATACTGTTACCTCTGTGGTGGACCAGGCCTGTGACAGTCCTGCGGAGCAGTATGGCAGTTCAGCTGGGATGCAGCAAACATCTCTCCTTCCCTGCATTATGGTAATAGCAGCAGTCCAGGGAAGAGGGATTCCCAGAGGGATTCCGAGATAGAGCTGTATTTGCTTAGTAAACTTTGATGGGCTTCACTTTACTCAGTGAACTTTTCCAATCCTTGCAGATTTTAGACATCCTCTGGAGTGACCCCATGCCTCAGGAGGGCTGCAGGGTAAATACAGTGCGAGGTGGTGGCTGCTACTTTGGGCCTGACGTGACAGAGAAAATCCTTGAGAAGTACAACTTGCAGTTCCTCATCCGCTCCCACGAGTGCAAGCAAGAGGGCTATGAGTTCTGTCACAACCGGAAGGTCAGTGTGGGGATGGCGTGAGGGATACTTGGGTTTCCATCCTGCCAGGGTGGGGTTTCTGTGGTGGCTTGTCTCAGCTCTCTGTTTCTTCCAGTGGGGCTTTGTTAAGTACACACTAAATCGTTGAACAGCCTTATTGTGAGTTCCTGAAGTGTGTTCCCAGCTGAGGTCTTAGGTCAGGACAGTCTGGAGCCTCCTACGCTGTTGGGGGGCATCTGTTGTGCAGGCAAAGCGCATCCTTGTGCGACGTTTGTGCAATTGCCCCCACTTTCTGCAGCTGTTTCTGAAGGTGACATACAAAAGGGTGTCACCACGCTGCTGCAGCAAAGTTTTGCTCTCAGGAGCTTCAGGGTCACTTCCATGACTTCAACAGGGGCACTTTTGACTCCGCTCGCTGCAGTTGAGACTAGAAGTTTGTTGGGAGAGTGCAGTGAAATCGCTGAAGCCCAACATGTGGCCAGATCCACATGAGACCTGCAAGGCTTCCAGCCACCACCTCGCTCTTCCTTTTCCACATAAAATGTGGTGCTTTCACCATCTGTTGACTCCAGATGGGATTGGTTGTGCTGTTTTCACTGATACATAATACAGGATGGATGTACCGACTGTAAATGCCTCTCTTTTTTGGGAGTTAGGTGCTGACCATATTTTCGGCCTCAAACTACTATGAGATTGGCAGCAACAGGGGAGCCTACGTGAAGCTTGGACCGGACCTCGTCCCCCATTTTGTTCAGTACCAAGCAAACAAGGCAGCTCATACTCTCACGATGACCCAAAGGCAAGGCTTTCTGATTGTATTTACCAAGTCAGAATTCCAAAAGGGAAAACTTTGGGAGTTTTGAGAAAGTTTGGCTCTGGAGCTGAACTTTCACAGCTTGATTTACTAAATAATAGCACTAGAGGAGGATTCAAGCTTCGTGCAGAAATTACTGAGGAAGGCTCAAGGGTTGAGGGGGGAGTGTTACAAGATCAGAAGGGGACTCTTTTTTTTACAGAGTGCTGATTTTCCAGCTTCTCCTTTCAATATCAAGTTTTAACTTTTGACCCTTGCTGAGGTTCCCTTCTGCTTTGGTACTTCACGAGTTGATGCGGGGATTCACTGCACCAGCTGCAGAGAACGATGCTCCAGGCATGCCGTGCCTTGTCGTGGGCATTGGCATGCCGTTGTGTGAGGGTCCGGGCAATCCCTGGACAGGCCAGAGGACTGGGAAGGTGCGGCTTCTCTTGCGCTTTGTGGCAAGTCCTAATTGTGCTTCCCTCTTTTCTGCATCCTCCAGAATCAGCAGAGTAGAGGAGTCAGCCTTTCGAGCCTTGCGGGAAAAGCTCTTTGCTCACACCTCAGCCCTCATCAGCGCGTTCAAGGCCTACGATAAGGACAACACGGGTAAATCTGAGCTGAGGGACACTCGGTTAATTCCCCGGTCGGACAGGATCGAAGCGGCTAAGTTGAGTGGGTGGCTGGTTGGGAGACTCTTCACTGGTAGTTGTCAGTGACTGTCACAGGGGCAGGCTCTGTCAGACCTTGCCAGAATGTTGGTCCTATTTGCTCTTACTCTGCTGGGAACCTGTTAATGCCTCACAGTAGCATTATAATGAGGGGCTGTCGGAGAAGCAAGAGGTGATCAGCCTAAAATGTATCAATTTAGGCTTGATACAAGGAGAACTCTTTGGAACAATGGCATCGATGAAGCACTGGAAAAGACAACCTGGAACATGTCTGTCATGTGTCCCTTGGGAAGGGCTGGGTGGTCTCTATGCCCTTTCACAGCTGGAGTCTAAAGTCACTGGGAAAAGGGACGTGAGCGCTGTTCTCTGTAGCAGCTGCCTCTGTCAGAAAACTTAAGGGAAGAGCTGAAAGTTCGTAATTCTCTGGCTGATGGGAGTGCTCTGCTGGTGCAGCGACCAAGATGCGTTGCTGAGATCTGCCCATTTGTGGGCCAAGGGAGAAAAGGGACACAGTGGTTGGCAGAAAACTGCTTTCTTGCTTTCTTTCCTGGCAGCAAAATCGTTCACAACAGTCCAGTTCAGCTGTTACAGCAGCTGTTAAACCTAGGGGCTTTTCCACGTTCCTTGGTCACCGAGGAAGGACTAGTGCAGTTGCGTAGGCCATGATCTGCAGGGTGACCCTGGCTGTAGGCCACACATTTCTAATGAAATATCCAAAGTTAGTGTCTTCCCGTTGCTCAGATGTTTGCAGCCCCCCGACCCTGATTTGTTGCAGCGATCACAAGCTTGCTGAGGCTGGGGAGAGCACCAAGTGCACTGGTGGCTGCAGTGGCTCACGTCTGTGCAGCCAGGTAGGGCTTTCTCCTGTACCAAAGTGCTCAAGTGGGCCATGAAGAAGTAACGCCATCGTAGTCTGGGTACGCCTCCTGCTCTAGGCTTTTTACTTTGCCTTCACGTGCTTTCAGCTTGCCCGTCTCTCCGAGGTCTCCACAGCTCTCCCTTTTCCTTACAGGAAGGATTTCACTGAGCAACTGGGCAACGGCGGTGGAGTCGGTCTTGCACCTGGGATTGCCCTGGCGAATGCTGAGACCGCAGCTGGTGCGCAGCACAGCGGATGGCATGCTGGAATACAGGTCCTGGCTCGACGACCTGGCCATGGAGCAGCGGAGCCAAGAGGTAAGGACTCACTCGCTTCCATCACGGCATGATGCAAAGCAGCTCACCAGATCCTCAGCCCGCAGAACCGAGTATGGTACGAAGGGAGAGTGGATGGTTCCTGTCTAATCCGACATCATACCAAAGTTGATGGAAAAGCTTGAATTGAGTCAGGTGGTTCAGAGGCATCCAGTCCATTGTAGAAATAGATGAGTTGCTGTTTCTTAATTACACCCACCAAAACCAACTCTGCAAAGGTTGAAAACCAGCCCAAGTCCCTGTCTTCTCCAATAGCCCAGCAAAGCTCTGTTTGGAAGCGAGAGGTTGCTGATGGGCTACAATGCTGAGTTGCCCAGAGGGTCCAGTCATTACACACCCAAGCCATAAGGCACACACGATGCAAAGTGCACTGCTGGTAAACTCTAGAGAGCAGTAAATGTTTTTATTTATGGGAAGGTCTGCAGTAACTGCTCGGAGAAAGTAGGGAGCTGTCAGAAGGGTAGAAGGAGTGTGATGATGTTGTCTTTCAGCACATCCAGTCAAGCTTGCTGGAAGTCATTTATCGAAACAGATCCAACTTGGAGACCATATTCAGGATCATAGACAGAGACCATTCAGGTAAGCCAGTGTGCAGGGGCTGTTGGCCACTGCAGTGTATTCCATTCCGCTTTTGGGCTCCCTTTCATATGTACAAAGGCATTTTTATTTAATGGTTTAAGGCTTGGGTTTTTCTCTTCCCACAAGAGCTTCTGAAATGTCGTTGCACGTTTTCACAAATATGACACATTTTGTAGGGCTGGTTGCAGTCTTGGTAGAAAATTAATAGTTGTTTGTTCTGGAGGAGTTCAGCAGAACAAAGACTGTGATGAGCACAATGACAGTAATGCAGTGTACATGGGATCTTGAGTGTCACCTCCCTTCAAGCAGTCATCTCTGCCAAATTACTTTGGGAAAGAAAAAATACAACAGTCTCTGTCTTCTTTTGTTCTCCCACATTGTATTATGTCTCCACTGCTCTAAGTTGTATTTTAGCCAGTGTTCTCCACCCTAGGAAATTTAGTTGCAGCACGTGAAACATAGATTATGAGTGATTGCTTTCCTTCCTTTAGGGTATGCAGACAGCAGGGGTGGGATGAGAGATGAGATCTGAGCAGGGGTCCCTCCTTGCATGCTGAGTGGGGACCGACTGGCAGCAGTGCCCATGGTGACCTTGCGCTGAGGTGGCTGTGCCTTCCTTCTCCCCAGGTCTCATCTCATTTGAGGAATTCCACCAAACCTGGAAGCTGTTCAGCACCCACATGAACATTGAACTCACGGACGATGGCATCAACGACTTAGTTCGCAGCATTGATTTCAATAAGGATGGAAACATTGACTTCAATGAGTTCCTAGAAGCCTTCCGTCTCGTCAAACAGTCAGAGTAGTGAGAACCTGGTGAGGGTTGCCACGTCCAATGCCTTGACTGTCTGTGAAGCCGAGGGACCGCTTCCTACCTCAGCGCAGAGCGTGCCTGCAGCTGCGAAGCAGGGAAAGGGAAGGCAGGTACCTGTAGCACTTACTGGTCGAAAACAGTGTCCACCGTAGCCAGCAGCTGTGAGCCGTTTGGGAAAGGTAACCAGTAAAATAGATAAGCTGCACTTCAATTCTGTCCATTTTTAAAAAGGAGCTGTGTTTTACGTAGAAAGTCCTGCTCAAAGGGAAGATGCAACTTAGGATGCGACTTAGTTTATCTTGTCAATGCACGTGATGAAGCATTATAGAGTATTCAAGCGGAAGTAAAGGTATTGCTTGTAGGCAGTGTTTTAACCAGGTAGCAACTGCTAGAGCACAGCTTTCCTTTTAATAAACAGTTTTTTCTAGATTGCTGGTTCTGGGCTATTCATGCCTTCTCCAGTTTGTCAACTCTGTTAGCAGCAGTGCTGTTTCAGTGATAATACCTATTACCCCTCTGTTTTAACTTTGCTGTGGTAAGTTTGAAGTTACTAAATACATGCAGTGGAGCAACACTTCAAAAAAACTATCTATCGATCTCAAACATGCAAAACTGTTTCTAGCAGTAGGCTTTTTTAAGAGATCTATTGAGACCACCTACTTTTTGAAGGCCAGAGTAGTAGATCAAGTAGCTCTCTACTAGAGAGGCTATGCTGTGTGTTCAAGATATTTTCAGAGCGTGGTACAATTGAAGGTTAAAAAACCCAACAACTTCTTGATCTCAAACACGCATCTTAGTCATGCTAGCAGGGGTGCAAGTGTAGAAGACTTCACTTAAACTGCTACCCTGGACTTGGAAAAGAAGAATTCTAGCCTCATTTGATGTCTTAGAAGAGCCCCTGCTAGAGCCTGTATTGCACAGTTGAGATATATTATTAATTAGAACCACACCTCCAAAAATAAACTAATCTTCCCCCCGCCTTAGAGTTCCATGTACACTTTTTTCAACTGTAGTGGAACCATGCTTCCAAAAATACTCTCTCAAATGCACAATACAGGCTTGAGCATGCTGAGGCTGTATTTCTATCTTTCAAATTTTAGGAATGAAAATTTATTATTTTTGTGGTTAATGAACTAAATGATTCTGTCTCTTCCGTGTTTGAGCTGTTTCCGCTGTACAAACTCCTACTGCAGAGAATAATGTATTTTTGTTTCAGTTATTTTCAGTGACTTTTGTAACAAGGAAAAAAAGGCGACTTGGATTAAAAACCCAAGCTGTGTTTGTCTCATACAGGTAGGAGCTACCTGCACTGCAGGATCTAAGGGCCATAACTTTGTATTTTAGTCTGGGGAGTGAGGCTGCCAAACAGCTCTGTGGCACTGGGTTTGACAGCCTGGTGCCTGCAGCGCCTGGAGGACAGCAAAGTGCAGGAACCTGGAGCAGTTACCAGTTTCACTGCTTTGCTTATGTAGCCGAGAAAGAGCCAACACCATGCACAAGTTATTACAAAGTCAAACTGAATTTATTACTCTCTGGCAATTAAAAAAAGGCAGAAGACAACATCTAGACATTCTGTTGTTATTTAAGGGGCAGCAAAGTTCTATATAATTCACATACATAAAGTGATGAAAACATAACCTTCAGATCCTTGCAGTCCAAAGGAAGGACAGCAACTGGAAACATCAACTTCTTGCAGCTTGCCCCAGTACCCTACGGGTATTGCAGAGACCAACATAGTTACAGCAACATACATATCTGTAATGGTTTAAATTAGCTGTTTACATAATGATGTTACTTGACTGTTTGAACAAAGACATGGAAGCGGGCTAAGCTTTCCACAAACCAAGTCACAAGTGGTACAATTCCCTTGGCACTGCATTTCTAGGACAATGCTGTTGTAAAAAAAGGAAAAAAAAAAAAAAAAAAGAAAAAATGTACAATAGTACATATACTTTTATAGTAAAACAGTATCTGAACAGATTCAGTTTTCCTTCTTTTATTAAAGCATATACAGCTTTATAAAATATAAACCTTCCAAAGGTCAAGTTTAAAAGCTTAGAAGAGGCTTTGCTAATTCTAAAGATAACAGCCAAAATACCATTGCTCCAAGATACAGGTTTTATTTTACCTCAACAGTTTTAGCCTTGGAAGGTGAACCACGAATTCGAGTAACGTGTTCTGTGTAAGCCCAGCAGCATCCACCACGTCAGCTGAAGACTCCTCCTCTGATGGGAATGCTCTCGTTCAGCCCATGTTCTATAAGTTTGATGTCCTCCAAGTCATCCTTTATAATGCTAATTAGGTGACTCAGGCCTTCTTGCTGCTGCTTCAGATGCTGCAGAAAGGTTAAAAACCAGGATGAGCATGGTTCAACTTCCCAGATTTTAAACCACAGTTCTCAAAGGGGCCAGGGCTGGTGGCCTGGGCACATCAAAAAGCCTGGCAAAATTTCTTTGGAAGAAATAAAGCCAGCATCTTCTGCACTAGTAGCCTAGCTGCACAGAGTGCTTCTGTACAACACCTTGACACACTATGACTTCATCATCAAACTATTACACAACGCTGACATTCTACATACGTCTCCCAAGTTAGTGCATAGCTGGTTTAAATTATGACCTTCAAAGAATACCCCAGGATTCTGCCCTGTAATACTTACTTGCTTGATTTCCCGTAAGAGGTCTGCATCGATGTAGTAGCGCTCTTCAGCCCGCACCGCTCCAAAGTGGTTCTGCATCCTGATTTGGGACATGAGCTCATTCAGTCTGCCCTGGGAAGAGAAACAGGCTTAAATCAAACACAACTCTTTGCTATCTGTCAGAGCTCCACCATGTACCGCTCCTTGAGGCACCAAGGCAGGAAGCACTGCTGCTCTTTTTTTTTTTTTTTTTTTTTTTTTTTTTAAATGGAAGACATGCAAAGGGCAAGTAACTCCAATGCTTCTAAGAACTCAAAAATACTTCAATGCCTATCAGTCACACAGCAAAGAGCACGATGCTACAACCTAGTAACACCGCTGGACTTCTCTGCTGAAAGATTTCCACAACAAATATATATGCATGGTTAGAAAACTTACTCTTTTGTGAGGAAAAACCAGAGTTGTTAGCAAAGTTCTATTAACTACTCACCTTGAACTGCGTAGGTGCATTCAGTTCACACTGAATTGTATCTAACTGTACGCGAAGCTGCTCCTCATCTGCTTGAATGGCATAGCCGCTTTTCCTTTGGATCTCTTGCTTTATTAACACCTACAAAAGAAGCCTTTGAGGTTCATTAGAGAACACTTTCCCCATTAGCCCATCCACATGTCTTTTAGCCCTTCCTCCCCTCAGATTTGTTCTGTCATTTAGTCTGCTGCTCCAAGACCTCAGGACAGTCCCACGGCTTCTGAGTAAGTGAGAGAGAAGGTTCCCAAAGTAGTAAGACATGCAGCGCAGCTGAAGCTTTCCCTGACAGCTCTGCCGGTTACTTAAGTCTGTATCATTTAGATGAAGTCAGAATTTCATTTTCAACACTGGCGCTGCACAAGATTGCACAGGTCATCCTGCCCCCTCTGTGTCAGAACGTGCTGTTTATTTAGACTATCCATGTTACCTGTAACGTTCTGTGAGAAAGCGCCATCAGTTTCCTTTTGTACTGTGCAATTTTTGCCATTGTTGTCGTTTGGTTTTTCTGCAGCTCACTGATGTCTTCTGATATTATCTGCAGAAGAGATGGAGTCAGTTGGAAGTCGTAAGAGTTTCTGATAACAGAACACATTAGTGCCGATTTGAAACCAGGAGTTTCAAAACAGTACTCAGTCCAGCAACTTAGCGTCCTTGCCAAAGAGGCTTTCAGAACACTTTTTGCTAGACCTCTACTGTTCTGGTTTCTGTTTATCTGCACAGGCAACTGGGATTTTTCAGAAGGCATCAGAAAACTGGGTGCCCAAATTAGAGTCCATGCCAGTGCAACTTAATTGAGCTGGTTTGAATTAGCCTGTAACAACACAGCCAGCCTGAACCTGAAAAAAAACAAAGCCAAAACACGCTCTTCAGTTTTTGGCCAAAAGATATAATTAAGGAATATATTAAGAAACAGTGATAAAGAATCACAGCCCCATGCACACAGTTCCAGTTTCAGTTTTCAACACACAGGAGGCATGGGGGGAGGCTCTTTTAATAGCACATCCTTCATCACCAACTATCAGTCACGCTAAGGATGAGAACCCTTACATCTAATCGAGTTTGATGCTGTTTGGTCATCTGATCTTGGACCTTCAATCTTCTCAACAGTTCCTTGAAACCCACCATTGGCACAGGAATAAGCCTACGAGGATACAAATATTTCTTGCAACACATTTTTGTATTAGATATGTGGTATGGATTAATAAGTATTAATATAATCTGATATAAAGTTACAGAAAATCTTGGTATATTATAAATTAAGGTCATACATAAACATATCGGGTTTTGCTAAGTTCTAGAGCCCTCACTATTCCTAACAACCTGTTCCTTTTTCATAAAGAAATCAGCCTAAATTATCTGCTACCACTGGAGGGTACAAGAGTACATCACTTTCAGCTGCAGGAATAAAGAGGAAAAAACATAACGGTTGCAAACAAATAAGTTGCAATTACTAGTCCATATAATGGAGGACACCACAACACAAAGTAATGCAAGTAAGGCTCTTCCTTTATCCTGACAACCCTTAAGCGCCTAAATGGGTAAAGGGATTAGACAGGCATTTCAGTAATCCTCACTGCTTCCAATGAGATCAGCACTTGGCAAAGTTATTCTCTAATAAGTTTCTTGCAAGTTACCCTAAGAGTACTATGCGACATCACATATTTCTCCCCTTTCCAAGTCTTTCTGTAATACTCAGACTATTAGACTTACTTGTCAGGATCAGGATTATCAACTTTGGCTTGTTCCCATATAATAGGATCAACACCTTAAGAAAACCAAACAAAGAAGTTTTATTATGGATATATCTGAATAGATACCACATCTTACAGCTGCTAAGCAGGAAAACTATGAGGAAATACACAAACCCTATGAACTATGCTAACCGGAATGACTGTTATACAAATTAAGGTTAGTTCTTAAGTCTTGGTCCTGGAATGTGGCAGTAAGTTCAGACCAAAAGGCTGTCAAACCCTTCTACTGGTTAGAAAGCATGGGAAAGGAACAATCCATAGGTGATTGAATTGGATAATCCATACTTCAAGGGGAAAAATTCCTATTGTTTCCACTGTATGCTACATTTAGGTCATCCTTCCTCTTCAAGTTGCTTCTTGTATTAAGAAAAAAAATACTAAAAAAAAAGTATCAGTAATTAAGTGATCAAAGTACCAAACCAGTTGGCAAAACAATCCCAGTAGGAAATACCACGGTGCCTAACAGGATTTGTCTAAGGATTTTAGCTGTTGGCAGAACAGACACTTGTTTTGCCATGAACTGCTTCATCAGGTAAATATGTAAAATAAAAGCAGTATAATTGTACATTAACATTATAATGCAAGTTATTACATTCTCCAAACCTCACTGCAAATCAGATCAGTGTATTAAATGCACATACCTACGTATGCTAGGAAAAAAAAAAAAAAGACACACACCACCACTGATAGGGAAGCAATTGACTTTCAGATCAGAGACAGACATGCCAACAAAAAAAAAAAAAAAAAAAAGAAAAAAGGAGTCGAGAACAATCAGCTACCATAACATTCTTCACTGCATAAGACTCCAGGTCATTCCTCATAAAACCTATTGTCTTCAAACCAAAACTCATCTCTTGAGGTGTAAGTGCTTCTCTAGAGCTCAGCACTAACACCTCTTCTTGCACATCTTACTGCCGATTAGCCAGCCTATGGACTCAGCTTCCTCCTGAGTCATGGACGAACAGGCTGTGCCCAACCATCCTTACACCAGCCTTAGGACACACCTCCAGTATTAAAGTCAGCCAACTTGCTTGTGCACAGAGCAGTTACTTCTCCCCAACACTGCAGCAGTTGGAATACACTGCTGCTTGCCTCTGATTTTTCTGCAATCCAGGTATCACAATCTTTGCTGTGGCTTTAAACACTATAGTCTTACTGACCATGCTACATACTGTCTGCTGGAAACCACAGGCTGCTTTCCCCACCCCACTGCAGGGAGTTCACTGCAAGTACTACGTGGGATACTGTATAGACACAGAGAATAAGCTACTGTTATTCTATGAAATGTCATGAAGAGCACTTAACTGCCCTAAAACAAAGCTGTGTACATACTATCTGTGGCCACATATACAGGCTAAGCAACCCCCCCGAAAACTAGGAAGTGAATATAGGACATGATTATTCTGATATGTAACTTTTTCTTTTTCAGTTGGAGAAGTTGAAGTGATTTAAGATGGCTAAATCCTATAGCATGGTGTTGTGTGGGGTATTACTGATACACAGTAACTGTCTTGGCAGACTACATTACACTTCAGTGGGAAAACCAGCCGTAATTAAAACCACTACATCAGTATGTCAGAGTACCTTGGAACCACTTGTAGTTTTAAAAGGTGTCTTATAGCAAACCAATGCCTGCATTTGCCCCAGAGACCCAAAAAAGCCCCAGTAGAGGCCCAGCCCCAGCCCCCATACCAGCAGGAGGGCTCTGCAGGAGCTGTTTGACTTGTGCTGGGGAAAGCTCTGTTCTGGCCATGGAGAAGCTGACCCCCAGCTGCTGCAGGGATGATTTGATGTTGGCTTGGTCAAAGTGGGCATAGAGGGTCGTTGCGGGAACTCTCCTCGAAGTGCCATTGGGTGAGCGCTCAACGACGTAAATGATCACTTCTGTCCTGAGCAAGACAAAACGGGTACTGTTAGAAAAAGGTCAGCAGCATACAGAAACTAACACAGGAAAGAACAACCCTAAATCCAAGTTACCACTTTTCCCAGCTGACTGCTAACTTCCTTTAGCTAACTGAGATACAAAGTATCAGTAAACGAAGAGTTTAACACAGAAAGGCAGAAAGGGAAAAGCCATAAATACCTTGCAAAATTAAATTCTCTCCCCCCTAGTTTTAATAACCATATTACATGGCAATACTAGTACTACATTAAGAATAACCTAAAACCTTTGGTCTTTAAAACAGAATGACTAAGCTGTAAGAAAGTAAGAAACAGAAATGTCAGAGTGCTGGAGTACTTCAGGCAGACTAGCCCGAGGCCCCCCAACAAGTCAAAGCAGACGCTGCTCTGACATAACACAGGCAGAAGGAGCCAGCTCACCTAGCCTTGGAACAGCTTTCCCACCGAAACAAACATCTGCAATATGGAACACTGCAAAGACACTATTGCTATACACCCCAAAACCCTTCCAACCTTACACACGATCAAGTGAAGAATACCTCACAGCTCCTAAAATACCAAGTATTTATCCCACCCTCATGGTTCGCATCCTCATCGCAGATTTTTGCTGCCGAGCAGGGTCTAGAGTAGTGCATTTCCTGAACTGAGCTGAGATTCTCAGCTGTGTAC